CCTTCTCCAGCATTTCCAAAGCCTGCCCATCTTCCAATATAGAGTATAGGTCTATTTCCAGCTCATTTTCCTTAGTCACTTTATCTCGTTTCTAGACATGTGTAGATATGATCATCTGCTGCTTATTTTTGGCATCTATCTTCAGGGGTTATCTGTGGCCTTAATACTCAGATGGGTATGTATTTTGTTATTTTTTATGCTTTCTGATTGTTTCTAGGTAGATGTGATCAGGAATTGGGCTTCCATTTTCATTCTTCTTCTTGAGAAATTTCAAGATTCCACTGTTGATCATTTTGACGTAATTTAGGATTTGATTTTCGGCCTATTTCCTTTTTTGTCTGCTTGTCCCACTCCACAATCCCCGTTAAGGCCTTTTTTCTAGTTGTAAACAGTTCAGGGCCAGCTGTGGCCGTTTGGTTTTAATTGGAAACTGTCTCTTTAAATTTTGAGGAGATCTATGCACATGTGTAGTAGAACCCTCTGAGGGTGGTGCTGGGATGTCCACTAACTCAGGCACCCCTATAGTCACCTGAATGGAGGTGCGCAGGCAACAAGGGACCAGTGAACAGCTACCAAAATAGAAGAATGTCCACACCTTTATCTCTGTGGTTTTGCCATGCATCTGTGGCTGCTCCAATCCTTCCTCCGCTTGGTCTCACCCAAGATGGCTGCTCCTCGAGCAGCTGAGCGTCTCGAATTAGAAAGCAGTAGATTTCTTGCTTCTGCCACAAATTCACCCAGCTGTAAGCCTTCCAACCTTCTAAATCTTCCTTTATACGTGGTTCAGAGTTCTGGGACCATCCCCTGAGCCTGCTTGGTTGGGTATTCTGTCTTGTTGCTGGCGGAGCTCCTTTACTGCATTTCTACCCGGTTCGCCATCTTGTTGTTTCGCTTTGTAGTATTTTGATGTTTGTAAATTTATGGAGGCTTCGCTTTTTTTTCTCAATTCTGGAGAATGTTCCACGTGCACTGGAGAAGAATATATATTGTGCTATTGTTGAGTTGAATGCTCTGTACACATATATGAGATCAAGTTGGTTGATTGTGTTGTTTAGACTTTGTCGAGTTTCTTTCTGGTTGTTCTGTCCCTTTTTGAAAGTGGCGTATTAAAATCTCCCACTATAATTACAGATTGACCTATTTCTTTCTTCAATTCTAGTAAGGTTTTCTTCATATATCTTGGTGTTCTTTCATTGGGAGCATAGATATTTATTATGGTTATGTTGTCTTGTACTCAGTTGACCCTTGGATCGTGAGTTAGTGTCCTTCTTTATCTCTTATGCTGGTTTTTGTCTTAAAGTTTACTTTATCAGAGGTTAGTATTGCCGCTCCTGCTTGTTTATTGTTGCAGTTAGCATGGTATGTTTTTTTCCATCCTTTAACTTTTAGTCTGTTTTTGTCTTTGTAAGGTGTGTCTCTTGCAGGCAGCATATTGAAGGGTCTTGTTTTCTTATCCATTCTGCAACTCTTTGTCTCTTCACTGGTGCATTCGATCAATTGACATTTAGTGTAATTATTGATAGGTATGAATTGCTGCCATTTTGTTCATTTTTTGGTAGTGCTGTTAATTCCTTTGTTCTGCATGCCTCTTGTGCTGAGTTTGTGTTTTTGTGCTATTTCTTG